ATATATATATATATATATATATATATATATATGAACCATATTTAGTAGGTGTGAAAATAGTCTTAGATACAATAAAAATGTACAGTTTCAGTGAAAATGATACAATGTTTCTGATGGGGCCATGCCTCCAGATCCCCCACCACCGATTTCCTTTTTTCTCCAAAAGTAACATTTCCAATTTATAGATTTTTGCCTACATTCTTTTTTCTGTTTGGTTGAGGGAAGTTTTAAAATTGATGTTAGTATACCTTAATGAGTTGTAAGACATAAGAAAATCTGTTTGGTAAAGTTAACAGTTAACATGAAGCTACTATTCTGTAAAGTACCTAAAAATTTGGAATAGTTGAGTTAGACTATGAAGCTCAAAACGTCTATGAGTTGTTTTATTAAAAGTTTGTATACAGGTTATTTAAAACTTTGTTGCAATATTTAAACTTAGAAAGAACCTTGTGTACAAGTTGGTTGTCAAAGTGTATGTAATAATGTTTTATTGAAAACTTTTTGAGAAGGTGGTTCTTTTGTTGATGATAAAAAAAAAAACACCATTTCTAAAACATACTTACCTTATCTAAAACAATAAAATTTAAGTATAAATAGATGAAAACTGTTAAGATAGGATAAACAAATGTAATTTTGTTACAATTTGAAGTCATTCTAGAAAGAAAAAAGGGTAATTTAGATTTATTTCAAATTGACCAACCTTATATAGCTTTAGGGTAGAGGAAATAACAGATAAAATAGTGCAGTTTCCAGTAATTTTGAGTTGGAAGTGTGCACAAGTTACAAGAAAAAGTCTTGATATAAGGGTGTTTATCAGAATAGCTGGTTTCTGGAACATTCTGGTTTTTGGATTGCTGCATTTGAGATCTTCTACCTGTATATATAATTTGTTTTCACAGTCTAATCCAGACTGTACCCCTTCTATGGATTATCATGGAAAAAGCCAACACCAGAGTTTCACTTTTGTCTGCTTCTCTGATTAGTACTTGCTGACTTTTAAAAATAGGGTTTCACATTTACCCATTGCACATTTTCAAGTAAAAGACCTTTCTGAACTAAAGGACTGATAAGGATCCCTGCACATTCTTTGATTCTTCCCTATTTGAATTTCCCCTTTCAAGTAGAGCACAGTAGACCCTTGCCATTTACCAGCTCACAGCTGCTTGGACGATAGACCATGGAGAATACTCACCTATTGGGGACTGAGAGCAGGTGCTAAAACATAGAGTTCCTTTATGCTGAGAATTGGGGCATGGGTGTTTCTAGAGTGTAGTACATGTCACCCTACTTGTCTAGATACATCATAATCTTCAAATGGATTTTGGACACACCTTTCACCTTTTCTTCTTGGCCACCTCCTGCAAGGACATGTCCCTACTAATTTTGCATGCAGAGTTATTGATATATCTTGATATCCAACTGTGATGTATCGCTCATTAACCCTTATCCTACAGCTGGCTATAGGCTCATAGTCTGATGGTTGAGTGGTGGTTTCATAAGTAGCCTTATTTTGTGTCCACTTTGGTGCCCTCTTCCCATTACTGGCATGGGCCCCTTAGTATGTGACAATTGAGAGCTGTGAATGGATGCTTTGTTGTGCCCTTCTCCCACAGCTGGCATTGACTCATAGAGACTGATGGCTGAAGGAGTTAGCACACTTGGTACAGTCTGAACATGCTCTAACCTTACTACACTGATAAACTTTCAAGAGCTTGTGTGCAAAACTCTTGGACAGTTATGTACCTATTTTGCCCAACCTTGTGACACCTTTTAGGCTTTTCCCTTCTCCCTATCATTCACTCAGGTAAAGAGAATACCCTGATTAAGATCAGATGCAGTCACCCACGAGTGTGCCCTTATGGAACTCCTGCCATAAGGTGTTGTATCTCAATGGCTTTCTTTAACCCTTTTGCAATGGGCTTGTGTAACTTATGTCTTATCAGGAATTTCACTTTTGCAACAATAATATGGTAACTCTGAGATTTCTTAATGCATCCTCTCAAAAAATGGTAAGATTCTGTTAAATATCATAAGTACCTTGTACACAAAGAATAACATTATTTTAATTAAGTGGTTTTACTAAAAATATGTTATTTATCTATTTTACTTACTTTCACTCAAACTCTTAATAAATCCGAGTGAATTTTTAGTCTAAAAAAATACTTTTCTTCTTCTTATAATTTTCATATTTCATTTGCATAATCTCTAGAATCTCCTAAATGAATATCAAAGTTTTTTTTACTTAGATTTTACCATATCACTAACTGTAGCTATTGTCATCAACATAGAATGCAATGTAATGATTAAAATTAGCAAATAGAAAAAAAAGTTCATACCTTTTGATTTTTTGTAGAAAATCTTTAAAGATCTTTCTTTGGTTATATTTGTAATTTCAGGTCCTTTTTTTTTCACATATGGTTAATTTTCAATGTTTTATTTTACTTTCTTGTCCTTTACCATTTATTATTCATCTTGACAGAAGTAAGTGGTGCCCTTGAGGCACATTACAGTATCTCTGGCAGATATGCTCAACCCTTCAGAAAAGCTTTTGTGTACTGTGTAATATCGTAAGCCTTGAGAACTGATGCAAGGTATGATGCATATTTAAAAAATGTTTAAACCTGTCAATTATGCATTTTAAAATATAAATCTATACATATAAAGATGAAATATGTGTTTGTTTGCATCCTAACTCCTCCAAGCCGATTGGGCCAAACTGGCTATTCCACACCTGAACACCCTACATCTCATTGACCATGAAAAAAGCATGGTTGTTTGAGAAAGAATCCAACAACTTTCATACTTTGACCTTGTCTAAAATGTCAACCTGCCAAGACTGAGATTGACTCAATAGGCTGGGAGTAATTAACCAACAGGCTTTACAAAATAAAAATAAAGTTAAGTTCAATTTTGACCCCCTTAGGACATTCTTAATAGTTCGTTGTCTTTTACATACAAATTTTGATTCTCAAAATCTTTATTTGTTGGTAGATGGAAAGCAAACTGGAAATGTTGTTTATGAAGAAGCTTTGTTATAATTTTAAAACTAAAGTTTTATGTTCAAGTTATACCTCTGTACACATTCCCACCCATTTCCTCCATTTTATGTTACTTTGTCAAAGAATGAAGGTTTTTTTGGATGTGAATTTAGATGAAGCATTTGAGTAAAGAGGGGGGTTGTGCTCCTATTGTTGGAGGATTTTGCTGTATGATACATCGTCATGAAGTAGTGCAAATTCACGTGTATTTTAGGTGGGAATTTCACAAAGCTGGTGGCATGCAAGTATTTAAGACTTAATAATGCAACTTCAAGAGGAAACAACTAATATGTGCATAAAGGTGAGCATCTAACAGAAATACATTTTCAGGTAAGGAAAATGTTAACTTCTGAAATGCATACTCTCATCAACCTTGTGAAAATTCTTACCTAATCTCATGTGTAACCATGTGGATTTGTGCCACTGTATGATGACTTAATCATGCAGCAGAACCCGCCAGCTATAGGAGTTCTACAGACCTCCTTGTACAATGACATTTTATACATTTATACTTCTGAATCCTCATTCTTTTCCTCAGCACTGGGCTTGAATTTGCTATAAATCTTCCATTACTTCTCTAGTTTCCCGTTTGTCCCAACCTCTCCCGTCCACTTCTGTTTCTTGCTTTGGCCCTTCTTCTGCTTGGATTTTATTCCTATATCCTGACCTTCCACCTCTTTCCATCATATTTCCATCCAATATCTCACCCACTGGCATAATCACCTATGACCATCCATTTCATTCAGGACTTGTGGGAGCCCATCTGTCTCAGTTTTGCAAACCTATAGAAACATTTTTTGATGACAGATGGGTTTCTTAAGGTCTTTCTCTTCTCTTTTATTCCCCTCTCCTCTTCTTTCCCAATCTGTTGCCTTTTAACACCTATCTGACCTGGCCTACCTTCAATGTCTGTAGAAGGCAGTGTTGGATTTGTTATAGAAACAGGCCATTGAGGAAGTTCACAACCTCTCTCTGGGTTATTAACCCCCCTTCTTTGTTTTGGGTGTCTTGTCAAGATTTCTAAGTCCTTCCTTATCCTGATCTAATGTCTTATCCAATTGAGGATTTTCTTCAACTTTCACCTCATTTGTGCCCCACCTTCTCTGGTTTGCTTACAGGACATCAGACATCTGGTTACCAAAGTTTATGCCTCACCTTCACCTTTGATGCAAGAGATTCCATCTCTTTTGGGGACCGTATTTCTCTGGAACCCCTCACTACACTGTGCTTGCACATATGTACCCTTTACAGTGGGTGTTGCATCACTCATATTTCCTTCTCCACTGGAGGATCTTGCTGGGTGGCTAGACCACTCCAACATCTCTTTCCTAGTCTGACCTTCACCTTTTCACTGATGCTTATCTCCCTGGAAGAGGAACATTGCTCAATAACTATCTGACTTCAAATTCTTGAATTTTGGACCCTGGTGTTCACTACATATCAGTGTTCTCAAAGTGCTCACTGTCTGTTGGTCATGCTCTCATTTTCTTCCCCTCCTTATTGGATGTTTTGGTAATTATCCTCTCAGACAACTCAATGGTTGTCTCATATCAACTGCCAAGGAGTCACCCATTCCACGACCCTAACCTAACCTAACTTTGGACCTAACCTCTCTTGTGCTTATTCCATTTGGGTGGCTTTACTAGCCTGCCATGTTCAAGTTGCACTGAATGTTGTTGTGGACCATATTTTTTGTCAAGACTGCATCCTACCATGAAATGGTCCCTCCATCTTTTAATCTTTTATTGGATCTGCTCCCAACTTGGAACTTCCCATACAGATAGCTTTGCCAAACCCCTCCTCTCTTTCAGTCTTCTGTACCTCATCCATCAGCCTTGTACGGGATTTGTCTGGTCGAGCCAAACTATCAGATCATGCAGCTTTCTTTTTGTCCCACTTTTACCACCCTTCCACCTTTGCACCAGTCCCTCCACCATCTCAACATGGAATTCTAACTACTCGGTGTATGGAGATGAGTATCTGTTTCAGAAGTTAACATTTGCCTTACCTAAAAATGTATTTCTGATAGATACTCACCTTCTCACACATTTTCACTCATCCTTCCCACTTTCCTAGTGCACATTTTTTTATTGCCTCGTCAAAGAATGAGGATTCACAATTGCAAATGTAGACGGCATCATTGAGCATGGAGGTGTGTTGCACTTCTATTAGTGGAGGATTCTGCTGCATGATTACATCATCTGGCACAAATTCACATGAGATTAGATGAGAGTTTTCGTAAGGCTGGTGGCTTCAAAGTCTCTTTGGTAGATCATGTGAACTCAAGAGAAAAATAAGCTATTCTGTGTGTGTGGAAGGTGGTGAACGTATACCAAAACTACATTTTCAGGAAAGGAAAACATTACCTTTGTCATTACTGCATAACATTATTTAAAAAGTACAAAAAAAAACTAATTATGTTAAACAATAAAATAATATTTTATATTTGCTTTAAAAGAGCATGTTATGTGAAATATCACTCCCCATTTGGTTGCTATTTAACATTCAGGGCTTCCATATAAGCCATATGCACTTAAAAACATGCAAACTGAGACATTGTGCAGGCAATAGTGATGGTTATGGGGGTTTCAGTATCGGGTTTATTCTTCCAAGTATTATTTCATTACATTTGCAGCATGCTTGGGATCACTGTCTGCTGAAAATGAATCTCCACCCAATATATGTTCACAAGGAAGTAATGTAATGGATAAAAATTTGGTTGTTCCTGTCAGCTGTTACCAATGTTGTGTAGATTTTGAAAATCACTGACTGAGATACAGCCCACATGTGTATTGATCCCGCACCATGCTTTACTATAGTTGTTTTATGTTGTCAATGATACTCCTCTCTGCCGTGAAACTATTGTTGCTTGTTGCCAATTTGAATTTGGATTAATCTGTAAATGGCATCCTCCATCAACTTTGAGTAGCTATGCCTTTATTGAGGACACTTCATGTTAATGTTTACCTAACTATTCTGGAGTTATCACTCACACCGGGACTTGAGTAACAAAACACGTTATGCTAATGTAATAATAATTAGTCAACAACAACTCATAAACATAATGTAATGATTTATTATGTAGTACATATTTCAACAGAGCATTGGTCTGTCTTCTTAACACATTCCATCATACTGGGATGTAGGTGTGCAGTCGACTGACCACGAGTGAAATTTATTTGCAAGAAATTACTTGTAGCCAAGTTTTAGAATCAATAATATTGTCTAGTATGAGCTTTGTTATAAACTTTTTCAGTAATTTTTCTTTTATAAAATTCATTACACTTAAACGTATAATGGAGTTAAAAATCACTTGTATTTATAAAATGACCTTTACTGTGACATGCTCAAACTTACAAAAAATTTTCTAAGTAATTAGGTTTTTTTAACAGGTACAGTATGTAGCATCTGAAACTCATCTTCATGAACTTTTTGATAGTGTGTGTGAAAAATTTGATGATTATGCACAAGCAACACATAAAGAAACCAAGGAACTCGCCTTGCTGAATCTTTCAGAACAGATTGCTTTGCTTAGTAACTATGACATTGTTCCTGATCCTGAGTTAAACAAGAGTTTAAAGACTTCTGTAAGTATAACCATTTTTGAATTATTGTTCAATCGTTTTTATTCTTATAGAAATGCATTTTGAAAACTTGACATCATGATGTGACAGGAGGACGAAAGCTCAGTTATTTTTTTTAGTTCTTAATTTTGAAAATTTTGTACTTCATGTACTGGTAGCAAAGTGCCTTTTGAAACATCACCACTTCACAACAAGTCACTTGCTCAACATCAAACTCATCAGGCTGAGTGGGTCTGTTCTAGCAACAGTCGACAACAGAAAATATTTTAAGTGAAATTGAAATTCTAGTAATGCATTTATATAATTTATATGCACCCAAAGTTGATGTTTTTTTTATCCCTACTCTATCCATCATTGATCACAAATTTTTTCCATTGGTTTCAATATAGCTTACACTTTGAAAACTAGTAATTTATGTATATAGAAAAATTATTAAAAACAATTTATTGAAGGTATTGAAAAAATAAAATTTGTATTTTATTGAATAACAGACATTTAGTTAATGTATTCCTGACTGTTATTTTTCTTACATAAATAACTAAAAAGTGAAATTGTCAACTGAGGCGGGATTAACTGTGCTATATGAAATGTTTTCAAAGAAATATATATAAATACTATAGAGAGATAATTATTAAAACATAGTACTAAATTTCTGGTTTAATATTTATTTTAGTGTGAAAGTATTATTGGAGATTTTGAAGATGATTTAATGATGTTGCTACACAAAGTGTCCAACCCAGACAGCTTCAAAACGAAAGTTAATTTCTGTGGAAAGGTTACAGGTGAGTTTTTACTTTTGTTATTTGACAGTGTATGCTCTACATATTTTAACGTATAACATTTTCTAGACTTTACATTTTGACCAAGGATTCTTTGAAATTTCCAATCATGTACAAGTTTTCTCTTGAAGCCAATGATTAACCACTCTCATGCTTGTTCTTTTTGTTGGTTATAAACATGTACTTAAGAGAAGTAGATGTGAGAAGACAAAATATTTCAAAAGAATGAAGTAATGGGTGGGGCTACCCTTGTAGGTTTGCAAAACATATTGAACTCTCGGCAAATCAAAAAGGTGGGAGGTTCTTATTTTATATCCTAGCTTGTAAATGTCTAAAGTTCGAGTTTCTAATTCATTAACCATTATAGACTTATGGTAGGCATAATAAAATATAAACTAAGCAATAAGATAAGAAGACTTTCAATATGACACACAAGAAAAGCATATTTGTCATTTTTAAAATACTTGCTTTCAAATTAAGAAATTAAAACATATACAATATTCAAATTTCAATACGGTCTTAACTCGATCCCACACAAAGCTATCTCGATCTTCTTTCTGTCTCCTAAGCATTGATTAAAAATATAAATGCTCAGCACACTAGTCTTATACCCCACTACTTTTGAAACTGTATATAGCATGTGACCACCCTCCAATAATAGTATTGTGGTATCTATATTGGTGCAGCTAGCTCCTTCTGATGTTCCTGCTTAATCCTCAATTTCTTGATTATAACAGCATTGTTTAGACATGCTTTTTCATATGTGACTACAATTTATGATTGTGCTTCATTGAAATTTGAGTTTTTTTTTTATAACCAATTTTCTATTAGTGTGTTTTAATTTATTTGTTAAAATTTTTTTTCCATTTGGTTATTGTTAATAAAGTATGAGGGAACTAAGAATGAATTCACAATTCAATGTATTGACTGCAGAATTTGCCATTATGATCAACAATGCTACTGGCATCTGATTTGACTTTATCTGCTGACGAGGTACAGCCTTATTTTGCAGGGAGCTAGATTCATATGTTTGGCCGGCGATTTCTTCTCCTTTTCAACATGGCAATGTTTCTGATTATAAATACAGTCAAGGAGAAGACAGTTTATATGTACTTTTACAGCACCTTCATATTTTGGTTTGTCATACTCTACACCTTGTCAGGATAACTCACTTTTTTTACAGCTGGTTAATCAGTTATGTGGTATATTACATGTTTCCCCTATCTCTTATGATGCCTCCCCATTCTTTTTGGGTGAAATCTCCTCTTCTGAATTTTTTTTCCCTTTCAGCTGAAATAATGGTTCATGCGCAGCATTTTTCGGTCCAACTACAGTCGGTGTTAGTATACCCCATTCTCCTCGTCTGTAGGACCACCATTCTTTGGTGTACCATCATTCCTCAGATACATATTTAGATTCTTAGCAACTGGATCTTCTCTTTCCTTTTTGTCTTCTCTTGCTACACGATTATCTCAACCTTCCACTTTCTACGAGGAAGTGCTTGTTTCCCAACCTTCTCCTTCCTTGCCTAGGCCTTACTTCCTCACAACACTCCTGATTCTACCATCTTTTTCCCTCTACTGGTCTGTGTAGCACCAACAGTATAGATGACTCCACAATGGGTTTGGGACTGGTAGGGGCCAGATTGCATCAGTTTTTTAAAGTGTGGGGGCAGTTCGTGATGAATCCATGTGTTCTACAGGTTCTGTCCAGAGGTCACTGCCTTAAGTTCTGGTCTCCACTTCCCATTTCCCTGGGATCCTACATCTCTTGGTTGCCTTTCAAAGCAGTCCATGACCTGCTTTGCAAAGAAGCAATCAAAAAGGTGTGCCCCATGCAACTAGGGTTTTATTTCCATCTCTTTGTAGTCCCCAAGAAGATAGGAGATTGGAGCCTTGTCATTGATCCATCTTGGTTGAATTCCTTTTTGGATCCCCCTCATTTCTCTTTGGCGTCCCCTCTCTCCCTTTT